TAACAGCTAAAAATTCTTCAGCACTTGTTAAATTTCGTTGTTTAGAATTATATACTTGTTTTTTATCACGAACTGTTGTCAGTAATGGCATGGTAGTTGTTTCGGCACATTCGACCAGTTGTTTGTACATGTGCGTTACGACTCGCCGTGACATACTTGCGGTGTGAAGGAAACCGGGTGGATAAGGATTTTGGCGATATACTACCTATTTCGGTGCAGACCACAACTGTTGGTTATTTAAGGTCAATTAAATACTGCACCTCAGACAATCTCGATGATAATCCTTGTACGTTATAATGAATGGCTGTGAAGCGTTTCAAATTTTGAGGAGGGGACTGATTAGTCGCTTTCCAGTTTGTAATCAACGATGAAATGGTGCTTTTCGAATTCCATTCCGCAATCACAGCAGATAACGAAGCATGATTACCTTTACACAAAGGATACCTCTTTAGAACTGCGATTCTTCTACCTATTTTTCTTATTTGTATATATTTTTATGTTTTTGTATGATCGATTTATGATTTTCAATTAGTTTTCCTTGTTCAAGTTATTCCTTATTCAAGTTATTTGTGTTCAATCTAATTATCACGTGCTTATACGTATGAGTATAGTCGAGCATTTTCTTTTATACATGTTATGTGTGTTACTGTACTATTCCTTTTTCAGCGTTATATTAGCCGCCACCTTTTCTGTCTTCGTAATGAGTTTAGTTATTGTTCTGAGCTGCTTATCTTGATAAATAAAAGAAGTAACATCTCATTTTAAAAGAGCTAGACTATTGTACCATCAAATATATTCATTTTCAATAACATAAAGATAAGGAACAATTCTAGTCCGAGTCGCCGTCACAGCGACTATCGCACAATATCTGATTAAATCGATAATTGAGATTGAACCAACCATGCCACAGGGAAAATAAGTCAACATATTCCCACAAATCCATAATAATCACATCGCCGAGTTCTTCAAACTGTGTAACCATTTTTATCTTATTGTCTCTAAACGAATCTGTCTGTAAATATATACTTGATGTGAACAGGTGAAATTACAAGGTGAGAGAATGGAGAAGAAGAGAACGAATAAGTTGTAACTCTTAAGATATCGCTATTCACACGGATCAACACAGATATGACGAATACAAATTCATTTTAACGTTCTCTTTCATTTTCGGAGACACTCGGCTAAATCAATGTTGAATGTATTACTCTTTAAGGGAGTAGAAGGGGGTATACACCCCCCATACCCCATCGCATTTTTTGTCACTCAGTAGACTATTCGCCAGAATCATTCGATTAAAACGGATTCTATGTAGCTGACATTCTTGATTGAATGTCGTTCCGATGACTGATTCTTCCCTAGGGATCTTCAATATCGTCATTTAACATATATTAATTTTAATTCTTCAATATCGTTTAATGAATTTGGAATGTTAATGTCGAAGTATTTTTATCAAGTTAAATACTAATTATTTTGCCTATGGTTACAAATATTACAAACAAATTAAAGGTGGGGCAATGGGATCTCCATTCACGATGGTTTTAGCCAATATTCACATGTTACAATTGGAACAACCATTGATCGAACATCAACAATGTCATGATGAACTGTATGACCGGTAGATAATATTAATAATGAAATATCTTTGAAAAATCGATTTTTGTTTGTTTTATTCATGTACATACATCGATGATGCTTTTATGACCACCAATTTACCATGTCATGAAATTATTGCCATACTTGAACAAGCAAAAAAAAGAAAGATCCTAACATTGGTATTACCTATAAGATAGCAGCAGCTGTTGATTTTCTTGATGTGCTATCGAAAATCAGAATGGACAATTGAAAACATCAGTTTTTCACAAGCCAGCTGCTTAACCATGTGTTCTACCATATTTAAGGGATCATCCTCGAAGCGTACATCGAACTATTGTTTATGGTGGTTTACTTCGTATTATTCGTTTCTGTTCGCATGTGGACGACTTTGATCGAGAACAACTGAAATTTGAATTAACTTTAATAACTAGCGGTTATCCATTGAGATTTATCAAATATCATTTCAAACGGTTCTTCGCAGGTATTCAAGCGATATCCGTTTGAAAATATTTCGATATCGATCGATATCAAGAAATTCATAAAAAACTTCTCAATCAATCGACTAGACAAGACAAAAAAACGTCGACAAATTATTACGGACCCTGATGATCTAGAACAATATCTTCCAAAGAAGAAACCGTGGGATAGAGAAAAACTAATTCTACATTATCGTTATGAAAGTAGTCCAATTGTACGATATCGCCAAGAATTTGGTCGTTTCTGGAAAGATTCTTATGTCAATGATCCGTCGCGTGTCAAAGATGTTCGTCTAACTGTTGGTATACGCATCAATCCATCACTGGAACATCGATTGGTTAAAAAGAGGCCTCCTCAAGTTCTCTTGAACAATAGAAAGTGAGCACTAAGACGAACAATACTTCAGGGAGCACCGCAAACAACCACAAGTCGACCAAATTGACTGATCAGACATTTACATTTTCTTCTTCTGAAATTCTACTAATTTGTCTCATTTTGCATATATCGTCAGATGTGCTGTCTCTGTGTGGAAAAAGTCTTCAAAAATAACTCTTGTTTATCTTCATTAGACTTTACTTCTAATGCCGTATGTCTCATTCTACATAAGTATATATAGGAAATAGACATCGCTGTGCATAACAAGAGAGAGAATATTCTACAATCGGCTGTCGAAGGGAAACAAAGTCTGATCTTAAACAGATCTAATAGTTGGTCTACAGAAGAAAAGCCCTGACAATGTCTACTATCGGTCAAAAGTCATTGTATACGTATCCTTTTTTCTCTTTGTGCTACACAGATGGCAGACACGCTAGAAATGTCTACCAGCGAGCAAAGATTATCAAATATATGCTTCTTTGCCTTCTGTGCTAGACAGACAGTATTAGACCTTGGCTATGTCGGGAAACGGTCAAAAGCAGAGCCCTGCAGGTTGCCAATATTTGGCAACCTACAACCTAACCTATAAAAAATTTCACAACCTAATCCTAACCTAACCTATGGATTCGACAACCTAATCCTAACCTAACCATTGAAAAAAAAAATAGAACAACCTATAACTTAACCTAGCCTATAACTAGCCTATAACCTAGCCTAACCTATAGGTTAGGTTAGGTTAGGTTAGGTTAGGTTAGGATCAACCTGCAGGGCTCTGGTCAAAAGTCACTATATACCCAGATTTGTGTCCGTTCCGTCTGACCCGTCGACGACTCTGGAAACATCTCGCAGCAATCGACGACCACCATATAGATGCTTATTTTCGTTCTACCACTCTTTCTTAGAGCAAACAATTCTTGATCTTCTTCATTTCTCTTTCTATCATTCCTTGATCGGTGTTACTCACACAAAAATAACTACAACAACAAGAGGCAATAACACCAGCCTGGGTTTTTAATACCCATTAGACTAAGCACAGACAATAGATAACCCCTAGTTGTCCCTCATATGTCTCGGTCAGATTTTTCTCGCAAAAGTCCAAACAACATGAGTACGAGTCGGTTTACTACAACATGAGTACGAGTCGGAAAGATACAATTGTCAGAAGATATACTATGACAACTGGGCTATATTTTGCTGAAAACTAAGATAACTTTTAAACACATTTCACACGGCCAAAAATGTCCGAAATTACACGTTTCACCGTTGATCTTAAAGATGCGTTTTAACCGCATGTGCCTCTTCCATCATTTTAACGATGTTAAATCTGAAAAAAATGAGACCAAAAAACGTGAAAATTCGAACATTTTTGACTGTGTAAAATGTATTTAAAGACAAAACGCAAAACCACCATTTTAACGCGTCAATTTCACTTTTCTGATTGCCTAGGTATCCGAATCGTGAGTAACGTAAAAATCGAATATCTCTCTCTAGCCAAGCCAACAATCACTAATATTTTAATCTCGTTAGTTTGGCGGTAAGAGCTTTCATTTGATTTGAGTGCGTGCTATCTTTTTAACTGACACTACAAACATCTCTATTTTGAGTACTTTTTCGTACTGCATTCTCATGACTTTAAATATGAAAATTCGTTTTGCATTGTCAAACAAACTAGAATTAGTATGTCCTTATCAGTCTTTCTAACCACATCATCATCAGTGAGTCTGCAAAATGATAAGAGTTTTACAAAGTCAATGCACCTATGTAGTTTCTGTATGATGTCAACAGACCTGTATGATATTACGACGTAAGCACACTCAAAAGAATAATAAAACAGAAGAACAAGTTGTTCGCTACTTTTATCTATATTAAACACAACTTTTGCTTTTTTCATTATTTTATTCGTGTATTTGTGATGAATGTAATTACAGTATTTTCCCAATTTCAATTATACGCCCGGTAAAAATAGTTAGACCCTGTATTTTGAATATATTTCCACTATAAAAACACATTTTTTTAAAAGTAATTACATATTCTGAAAGCCCGTGGAATTTTCTATCACCCTCTATAATTAGATTTTAGTTTGCACTTATGTTTTGCCAGAAAAAATTGAGTGCAATAAAGGCACCCTCATGTCCAGATTCGCACAGACTGGATTTTGTCACTGTCGTTAAAATTAGTTTTTAAAATTTTTTTCACTATAGAATTACCTTTTTAAAAAAAGTAATTATATATTCTGATAGAGCTTGAAATTCTCTATCACCCCATATATTTATCTATTGCCTTGCATTTATTTGTTAAAAGACTAATTTGAGTACAGGGAACGCACCCTCAATTGACAAGTACCAATCATCCGCATGTGTTTCGCTACTCAAAGTCAAGAGAATATATTAATACATAGGATAATAGAGAATTTCAAGCGCTATCCGAATGTGTAATTTCTTTTGTAAAAAATTATTCCTATAGGAATAATAATTTGAGGAAAACTAAAAAATAGTTAAAAAAATGCGGATTTTTTTATATTTGTCAATTGAAGGTACGTTCACTGTACTCAAATTATTTTTCAACAGATAAATGCAAGGCAATAAATAAATATATGAGGTGATAGAGAATTTCAAGCTCTATCAGAATATGTAATTACTTTTTTAAAACGGTAATTCTATAGTGATGAAAGGTTAAAAAAACTAGTTGAGGAGACAAAATCTAGTCTATGGGAATCTAGACATGAGGGGGCCTTCATTGCACTCAATCTTTTTTGGTAAAACATAAGTGCAAACTAAAATCTAATTATAGAGGGTGATAGAAAATTCCACGGGCTTTTAGAATATGTAATTACTTTTAAAAAAATGTGTTTTTATAGTGGAAATATATTCAAAATACAGGGTCTAACTATTTTTTCCGGGCGTATATATAATTCAGACAATGAAGAGATATTTTTCATATATATCCATGCAAGTAAAAGCAAATTGTGAAAAACCGATATGTGAAACAAGCCTGTGTTTATTTTGTTTTATCCTTGGATTCGGTAAAATGAAGTTGAAATATTCTTTCTGTATTTTAGATGAAATTTCTCGTTGCATTTTTACTCATATTTTTATCGTTCAGTGATGAAAAAGCGGTTCCATTAGATGCTGCGGTAGTTTCCACAAACATAATACTAGATCCTCCACCGGCTAATAATGTGACTGTTAATGTAAGATGGACATTCTTTAATGGAATCAATTTCACACATGTTGTAATGATCATTAACAATCTTAAATCATCACAATATGCTGCTATGGGTCTCGGACAAAATCAATCTATGGTGATTATAGAAGAATAGCTTTTAGAACTCTTGGGACAGGGAG